GAGTGGACTTGTAGGCTCTAAAGTTTTACAGTTTTATTTTTGAATGCAGTTATTTTTTGTACATAATTCTACATTTGTAAGTTCAACTTTCATGATAAAGAGATTGCACTACAGTACTTGTATTATGTGAACTGAAAAATACTATTTTTTTTGTACAGTGCAAATATTTGGAATAAAATATAATGAGCACTGTACACTTTGTATTCTGTGTTGTAAGTGACATCAATATATTTGAAAAATGTAGAAAACATCCAAAAATATTTAAATAAATGGTATTAATGTTGAACAGCGCAATTAATCGTGATTAATTTTTTTAATTGCTTGCCAGTCCTAGTTAAGATGTGAATAGGGCCTCAGTTTGGGGTTTTACCCAGCAGAGGGCAGCCTCCCACACCCTATCTCAGTGCAAGCATGCAGGAAGAATGTCCCATTGCTGAGTTTCAGAGTAGCAGCCGTGTTAGTCTGTATCTGCAAAAAGAACAGGAGTACTTGTGGCACCTTAGAGACTAACAAATTTATTAGAGCATAAGCTTTCGTGGACTACAGCCCACTTCTTCGGATGCATATAGAATGGAACATATATTGAGGAGATATATATACACACATACAGAGCATAAACAGGTGGGAGTTGTCTTACCAACTCTGAGAGGCCAATTAAGTAAGAGAAAAAAAACTTTTGAAGTGATAATCAAGATAGCCCAGTACAGCCAGAAGTGGGCTGTAGTCCACAAAAGCTTATGCTCTAATAAATTTGTTAGTCTCTAAGGTGCCACAAGTACTCCTGTTCCATTGCTGAGTGACCAACACCATTTACTGTAGCAGGTTGGTGCTGGAAATTCTTCAAGTGCAACTCCAAAGGAGCTTTCAGAGGTGGGGAAGATGAAGTGCACAGAGAGGTAGCTTGGCACCATTAGTTTGCCTGCTGCAGTTTCAGAGATATCATTTCATGTTTGTGCAGCATTGCTGTCTGCCATTAAACCACTACCATCTTTCATCCCAGTCCAAGCAGCCTCTCTCAGTAGTAGGTGGTATGACTCCTAGATGAGGCATTTTTCAGCAGCTGCCCTTCAGTTCAAAGAGGAGAGGAACTAGACAAGACAGGAGCAGATCCATTGCTATAGAGAATGGTATACAGAAAGCACAAAATTATCAGCACATCAATTAATACTATATATTTGTTCCATCTTCTCTTTGGTAATTTATGTGGGGCATGTTCTGGTCAAAACAAAGGCTCTTCCCTCAAGGAAGAAAATGGTACAACTCAGCTTGTTGCTAGTCAATCATAAAACATGGTGCAGGATATTAAGAAGAGGTGGGATTTTTTCCAACTCAAACTGCTGCATTCACAACTGGAGTGTGACTGAAAGCAAACAAGTGTTTGGGGATTTTATGCAGGGATTGGAGCACCTTGAACATAGAATCATAGATTATAGGACTGGAAGGGACCTCGAGAGGTCATCGAGTCCAGTCCCCTGCCCGCATGGCAGGA